TTCTCATCATGCCCTTGTTAGAAAATTATGTGACTGTTAAAAAATCTGGTGGGGGACTACCAACATCAGCCTCTTGTATTTCATCAGACTCCATCCTGTTTTAACTAGATTTGGAAAACTTAATAAGTAATACTTGCATTTCTTTTTTAAATTTCTTTTTAAAAAACCACTTATTCATTTATTTATTTGGTACAGGAGCTCACTACACAGCTTGGACTTGTAGTGATCCTTCTGTCTCAGCCTCCCCAGCACTGAAATTATAGGCACACACCACCAGGCTCAGTTTTGGTGGCCAGCACAGCATGTGGTACCAGGGAGTGAACCCGGGTCCTTGTGCTTGCCAGGAAGGTGCTTAGACCGCCTAGCTATCTCCCCAGCCCCATACTTACGTTTCTTATTATCACAGACAAAACCCTTTAACAATTATGGGTTTATTTTCCCATTCAACAGACACCAGCTTGTTCTCTTTTACACGAATCTAACCTTAAGTTAAAGTCTAGCAGTTTCAGGTACAACTGTAACTGATAAGTTAGAAAGATCGTGACACCCCCCACCCCCAAAGCATCTGCAGTTTGATTGCTGGAGTTCCATATAGTCATATTAGAATAGCAACTTTCTGTTTCCTGTAACACACACACACACACACACACACACACACACACACACACACACACACCAGGGTTGATATAAGAAATTGGTTGGTGAAATTCCAGGTAAGAAGCCTGCCCTCATGATCTCTTATATCTGCAGATGGTTTTAGCAATCCATTTGGTTTCTTCTCCAGCACTTCATTGGTGCATTTGGTAGGACACAAACAAAGCAATCCAGAAGGAGAACTACGACAGGGCCCAGGGACAGAGATTTCCATAAGCCGAGGGAGCAGGATTTGACCTGCTTGCCTCCAGTGCTTGGCTTTCCCCAGGGCCTCAGGGTGCCTCTTGGTTTTAATTTGTTGGTAAGGTAAAAAGAGATGAGCTTTCATCATGGTTTCAAGCTGCACTGCCCTAGCCAGCAAAGCAATTTTATTTCTTTGCTTGTTCAGTTTTTCCCTAAAGGGTTTTGATGAGTTTTAGGGCAACTTAGCCCAGTATTTGGCAAACTCACAGGGATGATGTGGAAGTATACACTCTATATTTCCAGAGTCCTCAGAAATCTTTCTTGTGAGCATCTTCAAGGGGTTTGAATGTCTACGAGCAGTTGACCTAGACTTTTCAGAAAGCCCATTTTTCTTCTCATGGGACCTACTGATAGACCCTACTAATGGAATTGTGTTTGGGGGCACAAGTGCATGCCTAGGCTGGCTTCTGGTCCCTTCACACTTCCTTCGTATAGCTTTTTCTCATGCAGCAGCATTGGTGTGGTCTTTTCCAGCCACACTTAGGCGGTGCACGTAACGCACAGGGCTCCATCCTCATGCGGCTCATCTCTGAAGGGGAGACAGTAAATAATCAGGTGGAGAGGTGAATAAATAAAATGACCAGGGATCTGCTATGTGACACAAAGGGATGAGAACAGTGTTGCAAACTGTCCTTCCCGAAGAGTTCTGAGAGTATGATGTGTTTCTCTGGGGAGATGACATTTGATCTGAGAAGATGAATGCAGAGAAGCAGGGGAAGGAGGAGCACGTGTCAAAGTCCCAAGAAGAAACTGGATTGCATTTGTCCAAGAACTATGGACACGGACAGTGTGCCTGGGCACCATAGCCAGGAGGTAGAGGGGAGTAAATAAGCCCTGAAAGAAAGGTAGGAAAAATATGCAAGTTTGAGTACCATTCTAGGATCCATACAATACCTTTGAAGGATTTTAAGCTGAGTAGTGCTTGGATTAGATTTATGCATAATTATACAGATAAATGGATGAATAGATGGATAGATGGATAGGTGGACCAGTGGATGATAGAAATGAGAGATGTGATTTTGCTTTGAAGGATCAAGAGTTGGATAAAGGTCCTTAAGTTGATTTTGATGTAGTTTGTATCGGGGTGTCACGAATGTATGTAGAATGCAGTAGACACCTAAAAAATTGTACCTGAAATTTTTGGTATGACACACTGGTCACATTGCTCACTTCAGCCAGGGCTGGGTATTGTGGAAGATCATATGCCGCACATCAGGTGAGAACATGGCAGAGTTGGTTTTCTCTCTGCTTCTGTTAAGATCCTAGGAAGCGTTGGTCTCTTTGCACTGTGTGCTTACCCAGCGCTGCGAGCATCACATTATTTACGTGCCTGGCATAACTGCTAAAAAAGTAGTAGTGGGGTCCAGATCTTCCCTAATAACCTTGTGTCTAAATTGTAGTGTCACACAAGGGCGTGTTTAGAAATTAGCATTTGAAAAGAATCTTCCTTGCTTTCAGTTTGAGCTGACATGGTCGCTTTTCCTCTGTGGAAATGAAATTTATTAATCATAATAAAACCATCGTATTCTGAAGGTAGAGGTCACCCTGAGGAGAAAAGGAGCCTGCTCATTTGTGAGGAATGGTTCAATGCTGCTGTATTTTCTTCTCCTTGGAAGAGAATACTGCCAAATTATCACCTTGGGTTTTCTGCAAAGGTTGAAACTATGCCCAGAGTTAGAGCACCCCTAAAGAAAGAATGCAGGAGGGAACAGTGGGAGCTAGATTTTCAGTAAATGCATTCAGACTGCCCATAAGTTGTTTCCTACCAAGAGGAAATGTTTGCTATAATAAAGACATTCCCTAATTTAAAAAAGCCATCCTACCAGATTTGTGCCTTCACATTTATTTATTAAGAATGTTCTGCTATAAGTGTCACTTAATAAATTCCTCAGGATTTTCAGTTTGCCTTTTGTAATTTATGTTCTGTTCATTTAACTAACTTTGCTGGATGAAAAGTGCATAAAAATAATATCATTCACAATTTTTTTGTGTAGACCAACAACAGACTATTTCGCATGAAATGAGGATCAATGTTGGAATTAGGTGTCATTTCCCTTTTATCCCTCTGTGCATCTCCTTTTGACCTAGGGTATCAAAGCCCAGGTTTTCTGAGTGACTTCCTGAATTTATGATTTCTTCAGGAAACCTCATCTCTCATACTAATACACTCTTTGTCTGGATCTTGCACCAACTTTTCCTCACAGAGAGAAGGGAAATTTTCAATGAGAAGCTGTTTACATGAGCAAAAAGGCCCAAGTATATTCCAACAAATGACATCAGTTGGGAACTAATTATGTGCTAGGTTATCTGAGATCACCCGTATAGTGTGTCCCATGCTGTGAGGATTGGAACAACCTCGTGTGGAAGCTGAGGACCATATCTTGATCATCAGTGTCATCTCATCTAGAGTTAGCATATGCCTAATGGAAACTTTGTGTAATCCATTTATTCGTATTTGGGTTATAATTTAGAATCTGAAACTTGGAAGTTCTTATGCCCTGTTTCTGCTACTGACTCATGGCACATAATGTAATCAAACATGTCAGACTCCTTCCCCTGTCTGCTTACATGGGAGAAAGGGAAGCAAAGACAAGACTGGAACCTAGACCTCTTGCCCCAGCACTTGGTTCTTCTCAAGGCCTTATGGTTCTTCCTGACTTCAGTTTACTATGAGACTGAAAGTTAGAAGAAAACTGGGGAAAATAGAGAGATTAGAGGGGAAAAGTACACACATATTGGACTTTAAATGATTTGAGGCAAGTTGAAAGTTGATAGGATAGACACAATATTTCTTCTTGACTTGTTTCCATTTAAGAGGTCAGTCAAAAGCTGAAACCCCACAGATAACCCATTCTGTGGAAGATGCATCCTTTCCCCTGGGGCTGTAAGTACTGATCATGAATGGACTATACCATAGCCACTCTCTTCTTTACTAAATACTCTTTGTGAAGGGGGAGAGATAAATCCCAATGTCTTGCAGGTCTAATGATAAGAGCATATGGTGCTGGGGAATAAAAATACATGGTTGAGAGATTCACAGATCAGATCTGGCTCTGTCTGGTTGTGTGGCCTCTGGTGAGTGACATGAGCTCTCTGGAGGTCAACTTCTGATTTGTCACCACATTCTGCTCCAGATGCTTGGTTAGGCACCTAGTGCCTCTGGCTTGCATCCTTTCTTCATTTTTATTTTAATCCCTATTCTAAAAGCCAAAGCAGTGGAAGAAGAAAGATGGTGGAGAAGGAAAAACTTAAAAATGAGTAAACAGTATTAATACGAATCATTTCAAAGACTTTCTTTGCAAACTCGGGTCAAGGATAGATGAACTAGAAGTTGTGTAGTGGTAGCACCAAAGTCAAATGAGACTTTGATTCCTGAGTGAGGTAGCATGGTGGGTACCACGGATGTTTGAAGGGTTCTCCTAGTGAAATGTACTTGCCCTTTTTAATGTATCATAACATGACTACAAAGACAGGTCCACTTTACCCTTTCTGTTTCATCCTACTTCCTGTGATTGATAATAGCTAAATCAAGAAAAAAGACAGACCTTCTTGGAGCTACTGTTTGGGTTATTTTGCTTCTTAACATCAATCTTCTAATTTGTTTGATCTCACATGTTTCACTATCTGAGGTAGCTACATCAGCTACATAGAAATAGTATTATGGGAAAAGTGTGTGTGTGTGTGTGTGTGTGTGTGTGTGTGTGTGTGTGTGTTCACACATCATGCATTTCAGACAACAGATCCCAGTGGTCCTGTGAGATTGCACCACCTAATGATCTCATAGCCACCTTAGTTTGTATAAATGCAGTCTGTGATTTCCAACATTGACAAAATCATCTAGGGACACATTTCTCAGAGCATCACCCTATAATTCAGTTGTATGTGATTGTACTGAACTATTAGTGTAATCAACCTTGTTAAATGGACCAAAGAGAGCACTGTGCAGCATAGAGCTCCCATGTTACATGCTAGAGTAGAACCTTTCTTGTTTTCAGAGGAATGTCTTCCCTTTCCACTGTCTTGGTATTTCCTATTTTATGCTTGGCACTAAGAATTGGTCATGGCACATCACGAATCAGTCTTCACCTCTGCTTTCCTTTCAGTTACGGACGAGTTTATGCTGCCGACCCCTACCACCACACACTTGCTCCAGCCCCCACCTACGGCGTTGGTGCCATGGTGAGTACTGATGATTCCTTGTCCTCACTTCTTCCTGCCTCCCTTCCCTTCCCCCAGCTGGGACCTTAGTATGGGTTGACGGTTGACATCCTCTCACTTTCCCTTAATTGAATTTGTCTCTTGTGCTAACAGCAGCTAAAATGCCACATTAATCCTCCCAGTAAACTTGATAAATGTCTTAATTTCTTGGCAATGTAGTGCATGTAAGTTATTATATTTCTAATTTTGCAAGTCTCACCTAGCAGAGCACTTACCTTAATGGAATAATTAGTCATTTTGATAATTAAATCCATCACTAACAGAATGCAGTGTCAATGCAGAACTTTTTTTTTCTTTTTTTTTCCCTCCCTCGCTGCTCATTCACATAGCCCCAAGGTTCCAGCCCCAGCACAGACTTCAGAGGAGCTAAGCTGCACACTTCCAGGCCTCTGCTGTCAGGCAGCTGAGAATCTGACTGCCTCTCCTCCCCTTTTACAATTCATGTTTAAAGTCATAGTCGCCCAGGAAAGAAAATAGAGAGAGGGGCACACTTTGTGTGTGTGCCTAGTACATAAGAAATTAGAAGGAATCAGCTGGGTTTGGGGTTGTCTTTTGTTTTGGGAGATCTGGGTTTTTGTTTTGGGATGGGTAAAGGGGAGGGCAAAAATGGGCGGTAAGGGTGGGGTGAATTTGCCTGTAATTGTTCAAACTTCTATGCACTAAAACTCTTGAGTACAGTAAGATGTGCCCATCATGTGAGAGTGTATGCAATCATTACAAAGCTTTGGCATGCAGTTTTCTGCTTGGATCAAGAATATCAGTCCTTACCCTAAAATAAACCCCATAGGCATTCATTTGAATTGCCAAGACTTAGGAAAAAAAAATGGTTAAGTACCACCTCATAGCCATTGAAAACCATGGCCAGACAAATCCCTGGAGCTTGGTCATAGAAACCCAACCACGATTTGGAAACCTGTTGTGTTGCACAAGCTTAACGATGTCCAGCAATGCGTCTGTACAATCCCCTCTCAAGGTCAGATCCCATAGAGGTTGCACAAGCCAAGTCAGGAGGCAGATTTAGATTTCCACCGTGATCCCGCATTCAATGACTCCACTTCCACACGTCCACTTGAGGGATGTCTTGGAAAGGAGTGTTGAATCCCTACCTTCAATAAATCATCTAGAGTCTGCTTTCCCCAAAGGAACATGGTGTTAATTAATCAATCAATCACAGAAACAAACAAAATGAGACAGTGCAAATCCTTCAGTTATCCAGTTTGTACCAAAGTCCTTGTAGCTAATAGGACTGGCTGACGAGATTTAGCTTTATAGCAATTTTCTTTATAAGGAGCTTTTGGGGAAGTCAAGACTGGCCCTATGTTGAGCTCTCTAAGAATGCCCTGGGATGGGTAAGGGGGTGCCTCCATTTTGGTTGGTTTTGAGTGTCTATTTTTTTCACATTAGTCTTTTTGATGAGCCACATGTTGCAAAAGGAAAATGTAAAAAACACACCCCTCAAATTGCTTTGTTTCAGAATGCTTTTGCACCCTTGACTGATGCCAAGACTAGGAGCCATGCTGATGATGTGGGTCTCGTTCTTTCTTCATTGCAGGCTAGTATATACCGAGGGGGATACAACCGTTTTGCTCCATACTAAATGACAAAACCATAAAAACCTTCCAATGTGGGGAGAAAGGAAGCTTTCCGAGGCCTGAGTATTGCAATACATGCAGTAGTGCATCATTTTAGCGACTCTAAAAAATTAAAATAAAAAAGAGGAAAAAATTACATTTTTTATCTTATACCTCAGATATTTTGTTCTGTGTATTTTAATATTGTGGGTCTTTAATTTCTGAAGGTTCCGTAGTTTGGTTGCTGGCTGTAGGAGTTGGTTTTTATTTTATTTTATTTTTTTTTTGTGGGTGATCTAGAGAGATGCTAGATATGAATAAAAATTGGTTTAGGGCCATATCCAGAGTGCTATATTATGTAAATGAATTATATATGCTGAATCTGAAGCTACTGGGGTTAAGCTATTTGGGAAGAGTGTAAGTGACTATAGTAGTCATTTTTTTCCACATCTTCATTATTTTATTTTGTGAAAGGGAAGGTCGGGAGGGGCTTAGGGGTTTGGGACCGGGGTTTGGCTGAAAGAAAAAAATAATAGTAACTGATGAATCTAACCGTCCCACTGCACCAACGATCACCTATCAATGGTTCTAAGTTAATCATCGCCAGTTCAAGCCAAAGGTTATGTTATTAAGGGGCTGCTTTCTAGTAGCACTTGTGCATTGGATTTGAATGAAGCTGCGCAAACCCACCCTTAAAACCATTCCACCCGGCAGTATTCAGCTTCTTAACTAGCCGCTAGTTATTTAGGCAAAAACTACTAGTTAGGCCATCAACAAGTATTCTTTTTATATTTCTTCCAGTATAATAAATTATTGATATCATTGCTGACTTTTATATTATGGGAGGGAAAATAACATTAATAAAAAGGTGATAAAAAGCACTGTTTCTATTTTTTTCTTTTTTTCCAAAAAAAAAGAAAGTAATAAAAACTTAAATTCTTTGTACCAGTTAAAAAAATGTATAAAATTTACATCTGTGCAGTGGAGTTGTTAAGTTCTAGAAACAGTCGACGAAGCTTTAGTTTTAGCTTAGTAGAACAACTGTTAGAGACAGACGTATAATTTTTATGGAATTACATGATAATCATATTCGGATTTATAGACGCATTTTACAAGTATTGCAATCACTGAGTAGAGATAATCATGGTATTTTCATCAGCTTGGTACTTTTTGAAACATGACTATGTTGTGTGAGCAAACTGTAATTTTTCAGTCTGTGAAAAGCCTGCCCTTCCTTCCACCTCCGTACCCCAGGACTATCTTAAACCAGTATCTTTCACCCTGTCTCCAAGGCCCAGGACACTTGTCAGAAGGAAGCAAAAAAGTAGATTCCCCTTTGTCCACCCCCAAAGGGCAGCCCCTCCCCTTCTGTCAAATGCAGGGCCAGAGCTACGCAGCTGAAAAATTGCAGCTTGTCTGTATTTCTTCTGTTTGAATCCTTCCCATGTTGTCCTGTTTACAAGTTAACCTAAGTTGGGGTATCTGTCACGGGTCTTCCTGTTTTTGTATTTAAATTAAAAAATAAATAAAACCGCCGCAGCAAGCTGTCCCTGAGTAGTTTTGCTGCCATACTTAAATCGTCATGTGTGCAGTGCAGGCCCTACGGCACGCACTTTAGTAAGTTATCAACTCACCGCTGTGACCTGCCAATCCGCTGTAACAACTCTGCTTTAAAACAAAACCAAACAAAAGTTTAAAAAAAAAAAAAAGTGTTTGTGATCCAGCTTTTCCTTGTCATCCTATGTGCATGCCGTAAGATCAGTTGGATATTAAACCATCAATAAAGTTTCACAAGATTTGAAAACAAAGTTTCTGTAGCTTCCATATCTGAGACAGACTATAGTGATCTTGAAAAGAGGAAGAAAGGGGGAAAAACTGCTGAGCAGCCAAAAGCGTAGAAATTGTTCTTTTCACCAGACTTGTGGGTGGGGGAGGGAAGGGGCAGAGGGGTATTTTATAGCATCACTAAGACATTCTCATTCCCCACGTGGAAAACAGTGTGATCACACTGTGGGGCTGTTGATGCTATTCGAGGAAGCAATTTGTTAAAATGCTAAGGCATCCTGCCCCGGAGGGAGGAAAGAGAGGAGGAACCGGGGCTGGGAAAAATTGCTGAATTCTTCCCAGTTGCCGCAGATTTCGAAGTCCAGAATTTGTATTGTGTTTGGAATCACAAACAGAACTCTTACTGTGTTGGTTAAAGTAAAATTCATTTGCAGTTTTGATTTTCATCAATGAGCTGTACTTTCCCCCATGGTTGTATGTAGTTTTAATAAAATCATTTAGAGAAAATGGGTGCCAACTGATGTTGCCGGATCTTGTCTAGGCACTCTGCCAAGATGCCAGTAAGTCATTTTAAAATGTATGTCAGAGATGTAAACAAACATTTTGGATTTTTTTAAAACAGTATTTATTTGGAATGTTTTCATTTATCTAAATAACTATTGCTATTATGAAATATGGAAAAAAGATTACTATTATGTGTGGCATATAGTGACTTCTTAACACACACATCACGCAATCTGCAAACCCAGAAAATGTGTATATCTGTCTTTAGAAATTAGTGTTTATATCACTTACAGTGGTTTGTGAATAAAGAAAACTGGTTTGTAATATCAAAAAAATAAAAGCTTAGTCTGAAAAGGTATATGTGAGTTGGCGTTCTGAGTTCTTTCGCTCCTCCGGGTCCCCTCCAAGGGTGAAATCCTCCTCCACACCTGTGGTTGCACGTGCACCCGCAGGGTCCATTGGGGGGCTCTGTAGGCTGCCTTGGTCCCGCGTAGACCAGGTACCTCCTGAAAGTATTCTGGGTGTTTGGTTGAGAGCACTTCCCTTCCTCAGTCATCTGTCCAAACGAGTCAGAAGTCACAGATGTTCAACAAAGTTTAGCTCCATTGAGCTTAGAAGTTCCCCAGCATGGAAATGTCAGCATTTGCTTTAAAGCAAAACACCACCACACAATGCATTTTGAGTGAAGGGGGATCGAGGTACTAGTGTACTTTGATGGGAAGCACTGGATGAGGAAGAGGAACAAATAATACTGTGTCTACTTGCATTGAGGGTTTGCTGTACTCCAAGAGATATGTGCTGGCTTTTGTATTCGTAGTTTCCTTTACTAATTTAAGAAACCCATTCAGTTCTCTACTCCATTTAGTTACTAAAGAATATCCTAATTCTACCCTAATTTAATTATCTTAATAGCTTTATCAAGTTTGAGGTGAAAGGTTAAAAAATGTAAAGGTTAAAAAAATGTGCAGTCTTAGCTTCCAACTCAGTTCTGTCACTTGCTGGGTCACTAGCACGCAGGTTGAGTTAAACCAAGGCACTGGTCTTCTCATCCACAGTACAAATTTCTAAACGCATTTACATCTTAGTATTGTAAAATAGAGTAAAGAAAGCCTTCTATGTGAAGTGCTTATAGCAAATCTTACGAAGTTGCAAGCTGTTATATTTACAAGTAAAACAACTGACACAAAAGGAGGCTAATTAAGATCATGTATCAAGTGAAGAAGGAGACTGGACTGACCTTACTTAATAGAAAATGTTCTCATCTGGCCCTTGAGAATTCTAGGGGTGAGGAGTTATGTCCCAAATGTCCCTGGAGGATTTTGGTCCTCCCATCCTCTTTCCACACAGCGGCTTGACTTATGGTGTCAATCATGCCATTTCAAATATGTTCTTGAGACCCTCGTGCTATGTAGAATGAACAAGACACAGAAGGTTAAATAGGTTATGGCTTCTTTTATATGAAAAACCCAAAATATAAGGACCAAACTATAGAATAGAAGATAGGAGGGAGAAAGATAAACTTTATGGAGATGGGAAGGGGACCTAAGGATGGCATGGAGAAGGGTAAGTAAAAAAAAAATAAAGATGTTTTATGTGTTTCTTGAATTAATTTACATGTATCACAAACATATACTGATAAAAAGCCCCCAAAATTTAAGTATATTTAATGGTTCCTCTTCTGCAAGTTCCCTGTCTGGGCTGGTTACCATCAATTTTTATCCCCTTATTTCAATTGATCCTAAGAGACAGTGACCCATATTTTGTACATGAAGATGAGGAAGCTCCAGAAAGTCATATGACTTGTGCAAATTGACATCTCACTGGATGCCAGCTGCACATAAAGAGCTGTCTGAGCCTGAAGCGCATGCCCCTGAAAATTTCTGTGCCATAATTGATAATGAAGGTGATGATAATGTTAAACCAGCATTCTCATGTTCCTCCTACAAAACATGTAAGATGTTAGTTAAAACAAAGCAGTCACTAACTTTCTCCTGACAGGTGGCAATTGGGAGATAATTTCCTCTTACGATAGAGGTTTATAACTGAGCCCCTTCCCAATTCAGTATGAGGACAGAAATGTAAATGACAGAGTAACTATATTGGAACTTCCAAAAGCATTTCTCTAAAATTTGAATAAGCGCATACATTTCAAGTGAATAAAGTCAATTTAAATGACAAAAGAAGCAAAGGAGTTGCTTAAGGAACTCGAGCAGTGGATGTCATCCTGCCTTATCCTCCCCTAGAGAGTAGGCAGAAGTGAGAAGGTGAGCCCCAGGTGGCACATGTGCCTTCTGTATACATACAGGTTATGTTTATTTTCTTTGAATAGTGCCTGCGAGGTAGCCATGGCCTTGTCCCATTTATACTATGTTTCATAAAAGCTTAATTGAACAGTAAAACCTTCTCCATGCTAAAAACAAACTGGGACAACTATCTCAGTTCAGTTTCTCAGTCATCACCCCAATTGCCTTTATCATATTTCTATCATCCGAAGCCCTTGTTTCCTGCAGAGGAAGCATCAACCTGCTTAAGATTTGTCTTCCCTATGCATCCACACTCAGGAGAAAAGCCCTGGACTACTGACTGGTTGGCACAAACATGTGGTTCACAGAATTGCTCTCTCCAATCTAGCTGATAAGCTGGTTGAAACAGTAAATGCTGAGCCTCTGTGCTCTCCTCACTCTGTAGGCTAAGAACAAACATTGTCTAGGAGTCTAAGACAGGAGGATCTCCAATTCAAGGCCCATCCAGAAAACTTAATGCCTCTGGGATTCCCTGACTCAAAATTTAAGAAGAAAAGAGTTGGGGAACTAGTTAAGTGGGAAGGCTTTGGGTCCAACTCCCCAGCACAGTGACACCCACACATAAAAGAACCACTGCTATCCAGGAAGTGCTTTCTGCTAATAAGCTTGACTGTGACCATGCCTGATTCCCCTGCAGATCTGACACTTTGCAACTGGGAAGAGCTGATGAATGTGCATGCACAGATGAACACATACCATGCCCAAGCTGGGTGTACAGTACATAGACACACAAGCACATACTTCTACATCCTATACAATGAAGCATATTTGCAATGCTTATGACAATTTGTGATTATTTTTTCACAAACAAATTCAAGAACTAAGACGGAAAATAATATTATCACTGATATCACTGGGGGAGAGATGAAAGTCATTTTTATTAGAAAATTTACAAAAGCTGTTTTGGGAGCAATGAATTTGTTTTTCATACTGGATAATGTGTGTACATGCACAAATACATATTATATATTTGGGACATTCGGATGTAAATTCTCAGGATGCAGTGTTCTCTGGAAGGTAAGAAATTCTCATGCACAGTTGATCAGGATTCAATCTGATGTCTGACACTGGACCAAGGCCAGTTCCTTTCCTGCCTGCCCTAAAGCAGAGTCCTTCAATTCATAGATACAGTTGTGATTTCCCATGGCTATTGTTGACAGGCCTGCAGGATACAGACTTGGGGTTGAATAGTTACAGCTGTCTGTTGTCCCTTTTGGAGGGCTTGCCCAGAAACCCCAATCTTCCTTCCTATGCTATATACAAACCATGGTTCTTGAAAATTGTGAAGGCCCAAAGGTGCACCTGTGGTCTGCATGACAGCTGATCTGATCATAGATGACTGGCCTGGAGAAGTTACTTTCTGGGTAACAAGATGTTAGTGTGATGACAACATTGATCAGGCTTTCAAAATTAATAGTGCCCATTGCCAAAGGGAACAAATGTTTTAGTTTGCATGGAGAAGAGAAGGAGTAACAGTCAACAGCATTCAGATAGGTTGGAAAGCGTGCTACCCAGGTACCTCATCATATACCTACCCGCACACAAGTGTCTCCAATCCACATACAAAACATATTGATACTATCTCTCTACCTCTCTTTTTCAGAGACCTCATCTATGTCATGACAATAATAGAGTCCAGTCCCTGGGGTTTTGTGACAAGATGACACACTGAGTGGGCTGGGGTGGAAGCTCCATGGCAGAGCACTTGCTCAGCATGCTCAGGTTTTGGTTCACTCTCTCGCACTGACCAAAACAACAAATGAACATATAAATCACTTAGCCTAGTATGTGGAGTTTTTCCTTTTATTCATTTTTTAATTTAAAAAAATTTTAATGTATTTAGTACAGGATCTATAGGGTCTCACTATACATATTGGACTCCTAGTGATCCTCCTAGGAGGATCAAGCACCACCATACCCAATCTCAGTTGTCCTCTCAGCACGCCCTGGGGGCAGGGGCAGCATGGCAACCTGGAGATCGAACCCCAGTCCCTGCATCTGCCTAAGCAGGTGCTTTAGTCCGCTGAGCTATCTGGCCAGCCCTTGGAGTTTTTCCCTTTAAGTAATTGTTTTCTCGCCTATTTAAAAAAAATGTACATCTATCTATCTATCTAGTCTATTGATTTTATATATATCTATATCTATATAGATATAGATATCTATAGATATAGATATACATACAGATATATAGATATATACATATATAGTTGTATACATCTAAAATAAATATCTTTGTAGGTATGCATGGATACCATATACTTATATTTTTATTATTATTATTTTTTAAATAAGGGTTTTTTTTTTGCTCCGAATGCCTTCAGGGCAGGTTTGGCTGGTT